CCGAGAATGCCTCTTGTGTGTCGCAGAAGTCTCTATTGTCCCCCTACAAGATTACAGAAGATTAACCCGTCACTCAAAATTCGTACAAAAGCAGCCGCTTCGGTGGCTGGAACGACTAGGCCATCCTCTCGACGTCAGCCTCGCCGTAGCTTTGCTCGTCCTGAGACAACCTACGTCACAATTGCGTTAGATGTCACGTGGTCTCCGCTGGGCCTCCTCCGAGTGATTGCCAGAGTGGGCTGTTTATAACGAAAAATACAGCCACCAGGCTCAAAATACAAACATGCGATTGTCATTTACGGATATTGTGGATCATATTCAACCTATTTTTGAACACGACGGGAATATTTTAAATTTCGTTGAAGTATCCCTTTAAAATGTCCCATATTTCATACTGTTGTAAAATTCACTCAGCAACTCATGGTGCTGCCGAACAACGGGGCACGGGGAAGCGCGGAGGTCGCTATTAACGGTGTGAATCGCAATGGTACGCTATTTTCTATCCAAGCATTGCGGGAAGCGACCGTCCTTCTTGCATGAGAACCGACGTGTATGCTCTGTTGTACCTCTCCCCTTGGTGCAAAAATATTGTAAAAAAATTGCTTTAAATATAGGATATTGTTAATATTTTCAAATCACTGTGTTACTGCAAAATGGTTGCTGTTGACTTTTGTTTTTGGTGAAGACAGCCACACAAGGCAAAAAAGCCTGCAACTTACAATGGTCGAAAAAGAACATAATGTTAAAAATTTTTATAGGACCATGTTGACAGAAGCAAGAGTTGACAGGAAACAATAACCCAAAAAGATTCACTGTTTCCTATTTCCATTTGATGCTCTCAGTTCTGCTGCAGTTGCTTTTTATGCTTTCAACTTCGACACATTTCGTAACATATTTTGCATAAAAAATATCATTGGGAGCGAAAATTATTTTAGCCTAATTGCTGGAATACAATTTGCAGGTGTATAAACTGCAAAGGATATTGGATATGTTAACAGAGCCTCGGTTCGTGGTGTGCGTTTTCATAAACTTCCTCTAACCCCCTCTTCCTCCCCCCCCTCCCCCCCCGCGTGTCCCGCATTTCGCTAGCAGGAAGGTGGTCACCCTATTTACGCGCATTTCGACTTGCAAGAAAGTTCCATAGTATGGTGCTCTATGGCAGGGGCAATCCAGTATTCCGTAGCAAAATGAAAATGCGCAAAATAAGAGGGTAGTTGAATTTATGAGAGCAAACGCATGCTGAGCAAACGAAAGTTTAAGGAGCTAGACATTCGGGAACCAAGCTCTGGAGCACTAGGCCTAGCCGAGGCCAAGTCTTGGAGACGACGCAATCATCGATGCGCAGGCAGAAAGATAAACCTTGACATACTTTTTTTTGGTACCTCTAAAAGATTGACTAGCCACAATCCTTCCTTTTACATGTAACAACACGGCTGGAGCATGGCACAAAAAAAACGGCTTATCAAACGGAAACTGAGAAAGGCGTGAGAAAATATTTAGCAATGCGTGTATACCAGCCCACTTACTTTTCAGTGTTACTGAACTGAAGCAAAAGAAATGCGGAACCATGGCTGAACTAGGCAACATCACTGTTGTGTGTCCGCCGACAAAGGAGAGACTTTGGTACGGAACGTGTCTTTATTCCGCAACCAACATGGGGAGCGACTTGCTCCGTAGCGTCCTGCTCAAGCGGCCCAATGAAAACAGACTACTCGCCGCCCGGGTGCCCCATCCCAGAGTTCCCCGCGGCGTTGTACCCAGGGTGACCCGACCCGAACCTCACTCCGCCAAACACCACATTCTTCCGCACTTGATTGAGAAAGTCCCCCTTAGGTCAGTCCCCCGGTGAATAACGATCAGGAGGGCAGCGCACTCTTGTTGGATACCGCTGAGTCGGCGTTCGAGGCCTTGAAATACTGGTCGACCCCGGGTCCGTTGAGGCACTTGTAGGTGGGCTGGCAGGGGGAGGCTGCGCTTGGCTTGCTATACTTAAAGCTTGCGGTATGAAGCTAGCTCCATCTTCCTCCCGCGACGCCGGCGTTCCAACTTCCTGGTCCCCCTCCTGCCGAATGTGATCCTGATGGCGTCGCCAGATGACTGTGTCATGGTCCCGGTACACACGCAGCTTGTACGAGACAGGACCGCTCCTTGACAGTATAGTTGCCTTTAGCCACTTGTCCCCCCGATGGGGGTTCCACACACGTACCCGGTCCTTTATTTTAAACTCTCGGGTACGGCAGCTTCTTTGCAACATCTGGCGGAACTGATGCCTGGCCACTCTGTTTTCTACAGATGGCTTGAGAACATCCAGTCTAGTGCGAAGGCGTCTTCCCAAAAACAAAACTGCTGGCGCCTCCCCCGTTGTTGCATGTGGAATGTTTCGGTAGGTTTGCAAAAACTTTCCTAAGGTCTGCTGCAGTGGCTCCGAGGCAACTCCCTTGCGCAGCGCCGATTTTAAGGTTTGCACAAATCTCTCCGCCAGGCCGTTGCTACTGGGGTGATACGGTGCTGTTAACACATGACGTGTTCCGATCCGTTTTAGAAAGTCCTTGAACTCGTTTGACGTAAACTGTGTACCGTTGTCAGAAACCAACGTCTCGGGCATTCCAAAACGCGCAAACACCTCCTGTAGCTTTTCAATAGTCTTTGCCGAGGTTGTCGCTTGCATAATAAACACCTCTGGCCATTTTGAGTGGGCATCCACAATTACCAAAAACATAGCTCCTCGAAATGGTCCAGCGTAGTCTACATGTACCCGCTGCCATGGTTTGGTGGGCCACGACCAAGGATGCAAAGGCGCTTGCGTAGGCAGATTACGCTGTTGCTGACACTGCTCACATGCCTTCACATGGTTTTCCACATCCTGGTCCACTGAGGGCCACCAAAAATAACTCCTAGCTAGCTCCTTGGCTCACACTACTCCTGGATGCCCTTCATGGATTTCGTCCAGCAGCACGCTCCGTAGCTTTTCCGGCACTACCACTCGCAGTCCTAACATAAGGCAGCCCTGTTGTGCCGACAGCTCCGTGTTACGTTGAAACCAAGGTTTCAGCGCTTGGTCTCCCACGTAAGGAGGCCACCCCTTCAAGACGTAGTCGTACACCCGCCTCAGCAACGGGTCTCGTGCGGTTTCTCTTGCGATGTCCCGACTGTCCACCGGCAAGGACAGTAATCTTAAGGAACAAAAAGACTCCACTTTTTCGTCACTCTCTTGCCGCCCTTCCACTGGAAGTCTGGAGAAACAGTCCGCTTCAACATTCTCAGTCGACCGCTTGAACACCAAGGAATACCTGTAGGCAGACAGGGTCACTGCCCACCTTTGCAGACGTGCAGCCGCCATTGCCGGGATCCCAGTTTTTGGTCCAAAAATAGTCTGCAAGGGCTTATGGTCCGTCACAAGCTTAAACGTGCGTCCATAAAGGTAAAAGTGAAACTTCTTCACCCCAAACAGCAACGCCAGCGCTTCCTTTTCCAACTGGCTGTACCCTTTTTCTGCAGATGTCAGTGTCCGTGACGCGTATGCGACTGGCCGCGCAGTTCCATCTTCCAATATGTGAGACAACACAGCTCCGACACCGTAAGATGATGCGTCACACGCCAGTTGTAAGGGTGCTGTTGGGTCGTAGTGTACGAGCACTTCTGAGGACATCAGCAACTTTTTGACTCGTTGGAAGGCCTCTTGACATGTACGGTCCCAGTGCCACTTCACATCTTGATGCAGTAGCTTGTAGAGTGGAGCCACTATGGTTGCCAGTTGAGGAACAAACTTGCCGTAGTAGTTCACGGCCCCCAGAAGCGATCTCAGCTGCGACACGTCTGCTGGTGCTGGTGCCTTTACGATAGCAGCCACCTTCTCCTCCGACGTCCTTATTCCTTCAGGACTTATCACATGTCCCAGGTACTGCAACTGATCCTGGAAGAAGGCACACTTTTCTCGCTTGATGCGAACGCCTCGTTCCGCAAAACGCTCGAACACCTCCTCCAGACTTCTTAGATGCTCCTCCTGTGATTTTCCGGTAATTAGCACGTCATCCAAATAACATGCCACCCCTGGGATTCCTTTCAGCATGTTATCCATTACCCTCTGGAAAATTGCCGGGGCCGACGCTATTCCAAAAGGTAGGCGATTCATGAGGTATAGGCCTTTGTGTGTCGTGATGGTCAGTAATCGTCGGGACTCCTCACTCATGACAACCTGCTGATATGCTCTGTTGAGGTCGATTTTTGAGAAACTCTGACCTCCCGCTAACACTGAGAAGAGCTCATCTACTCTCGGCAAGGGATAACGCTCAACATCCAACATCGGATTCAATGTCATCTTGTAATCGCAGCACAATCGTATGGTGCCATCCTTCTTGGGAACAGGCACTAATGGTGTCGCAAACTCGCTACTGGTTGTCGGTGTGATGACACCAAGGGCTTCTAGGTTCGACAGTTCCTTTTCTACAGCTGGAACCAATGCAAAGGATACACTCCTGGCCTTCAAAAACTTGGGATGACTTCCTTCTTTAAGGAACAGCCTCGCCTCCTCTCCAGAGATCTTCCCCAGTTCGTCCTTGAAGATGGCCTGATACCTGTCTAGTAATACTTGCAACTTGTCCACTGGCATCGGACTTGCCCCTTGTGTGCTCCTCTGAAGATTGTTGAAGCCCGTCACTTGCTTCCAGTTCAACCGCAGCCTCTGTAGCCACTCCCGGCCAAGAAGTGGTGGCCCTGACTGGTTCAGGACATACAATGGCAGGACTCTTGTTTCCTCTTGATGCGAAAATTTAACTTCCAGAACTCCACAGGGCTTGACAGTTTCCCCGGTGTACGTCTTCAACCGCAGCGCCGTCGGCTTCAAGTTCAATGCCGCAAACCTCTCACGGTACTGCTGCTTTGAGATGACTGATACCGCTGCTCCGGTATCGATTTCCATTGTCACCGGCGAATTCTCAACCAGCACTTCTACCGTCAATGGCTGGTCTTTTGGAGCTGTAATGCGGTTGACATGGGCGTCCTTAGTCACCGTTAAAGTTTTCAGCGACTTCTTCCTTCCTTGCGGCTTCCTCTCCTGAAATGAGCGGCATGCTCGCTGAATATGCCCCACTTTCTGGCATTTGTAACAGGTGGCCTCGCTGTGTATGCACGTGCGTGCGAGATGCTTGCTTGACCCGCAACGGTAACAAGCCACCCCTCGCTTCTTAGTATCTTCTTTGTCACCTTTCAACTTGTGGACGCTGGCGCTTTCCACTTGGTCGCTGTTGCCACCAGACCCGTGCACATCGGATGTGCTTTTTATCGCTGTCTCCAAAGCCACGGCCCGGTCAACCGCTTTCTGCAAGGTCAACGTCTTATCTTCGGCGAAAAGTGCTCGCTGAATATCCACGCGGCGCACTCCGCAAACGAACCGGTCACGCAATGACTCATCCAAAAACGTGCCAAAGTCGCACGTTCGTGCGAGCGTCCTTAGCGCGGCGACGAACTGCGCAATAGTCTCGCCCTCCTCTTGAATTCGGCGATGAAATCTGGCTCGCTCTGCAATAACAGATGGCTTGGGTTCTAGATGGTCTCGTAGTAGCTGCGTTAGCTCGTCGAAGGACTTCGTTACTGGTAGCTGAGGAGCTGTTAGCGACTTGAGTAAGTTGTACGTCGTAGGCCCAATTAGGCTTAAAAAGGCGTCAACCTGGTCGGTTTCCGGCACATGGTTCGCTCTCAAAAACGACGCTAGTCTTTCTTCGTATGACGACCATGAGCACAACGAAGCGTCAAAATGTTCGACTTGCCCGAACTTGGCCATGGCTCTGCACCATTCCGCTGCGTCGCTTGCTCCTCCGTACCCGCCGCAGTTGCTGTCTTCTCAGGCCTACACGGCGTCCACCAGTTGCTGCTCGAGTTCTGCTCGCATGGGTGGTCGGTCGAAAGTCCTCGTCGCCACTTTATGTTGTGTGTCTGCCGACAAAGGAGAGACTTTGGTACGGAACGTGTCTTTATTCCGCAACCAACATGGGGAGCGACTTGCTCCGTAGCGTCCAGCTCAAGCGGCCCAATGAAAACAGACTACTCGCCGCCCGGGTGCCCCATCCCAGAGTTCCCCGCGGCGTTGTACCCAGGGTGACCCGACCCGAACCTCACTCCGCCAAACACCACAATCACTAAGATAATGTAGAAAGGAAATTGAATTGCTTAGACACTACACTGCATAACAAGGAGGACACCAGCACCAGCTTCAAGGTCCCCTCTTACACCATAGAAACCGAACGCATAGTACAGAACAAAAAGCAACACCACAAGCATTGAAAGTCCACGCATCATCATGAAGACAATTTTTCATTATTTCTCAGATTTTTATTTTTTCCAAACTCACACATGGGAAAACTCAAGCAAGGAAAAGGAAAAAAAAGAAAAGAATGAACAGTTGTTAGTTTGCACCCATTCATGTACATTGTGTTTCTCCTCATTGTTTTCCTTTCATTTTTTGGTCACGCGTTTATTCTGTAGAACTTCGCAGTGCACCACATTCGGATATGTACTATAACCAACTAGCCCAAACCCAAGTCTCAGCTTTATTAATGCTGTAAAAGCTTTATTCTCACTGTCTTGCCTATCCACATTGAGCCGGTTTGGGGAAACCATAAAAATGAAAATATCTCGCCTTTTGGAAGAGGAAACACCACCTATGGTTACATAATTATGGTGCTCTACAAAAAATGGCGTGCGGCATATAAAAAAAATTATGTCGCACTTCGAAAAAAAAAAAAAATCTTATATAAGTCACATTGTTGTATAAGTTGCACCAAGAAAAATGTTTGAAAAAAACCGCGGCTTATACACCAAAAAATACTAGTCATAAATATACCCAGTGCTGTGATGCAAAGAGAAAGTGGAAGGCCATCCTCGATTTTAGCTGCTGTTAGTAATGGCTGTTAAAATTGATGTATGGTTATGTTAAAACAAATCCTCACTTCCACAACCACTTGTCATTCTTAAAACATTCAGGCTTTAGGAAAAAATGGTCATGGTTGTTGTTAAATAATTTTTAATCAGATATTCTTCATAGAAAGGAGCACATACTCTGACAATATACCATTGTTGATAGCACACACTGCTTAACAATTTGCTTTAGGAAAAAATTAGGTTGAATGCAACATACATTGGCAGGTAACAATTTTAAGATATTGTGCAAAGGCAAGAAGAAAGGATCCAGGAAGTAGTAGTGCAAAACTATTGATAGTACTATCGATAGTATCAATAGTCGCCAGAAATCAGTCTATCGACAGTAAAAAAAAACTGGTGATAGTACTATCAATAGTCGACTATCGAAAAACTATCGATACTTCTATCGATAGTCGACTATTGATAGTTTGTGACACCATCGATAGTTTTGGAAAAACTACAGTATCGATAGTCAATTTATCTATAGTTTTGCATCATTACCAGGAAGTCAAGAATGCTTAAGATTGTAGATGTTCTCAAGAGGAATACCATATTTTCGCACGTATAACTCGCCCCTGCATATAACCCGCAACCCCAACTTTGAACCCGCAACAAATGCAAAAAAAATCCATGCATATTACCCGTACAATGAACTATGAAATGCAGTGCTCACACTTAAGGAAAAAGAAATGTTTATTTTCAAACCTTGCATAACGTCGAACTTCCTTTCGTAACGTTTAGTCATCACTGCTGTCACTACCACCGCTGCTGTCGATAGAAGCGTCGTCATCCCAAACAACGTCATCTTCCGTACCGTCAAGACGGTTGCTGATGGAGCACTTTCGAAAGCTCCTGCGCACCATCTCGGCGGGAATCTCTTTCCACGCGTTATTAATCCACTTGCACAGGAGCGTAATGTCCAGTCTCTTGACCCGGCCCGTTGGTGTCAGCTCGTGGAGCTCTTCGGCCATCCACTCCGTGTATTGTCGCTTCACGTTTGCCTTGAAAGGTTTGTTGAGGCAAACGTCGAGGGGTTGGAGTACGGATGTCATACCTCCTGGTATCATTACAAGGTCCGTGCAAGCCTCTGAGACGAGCCTTGACCGCTTCAGAGCTGTGGCCTCGAAACGCGTCCAGCACCAGCATGGATCTTTTAGCGAGCATGGCCCCTGGTCTGTTTTCCCATATCGTCTTCAACCAGTCCATGATGAGATCACTGTTCATCCAAGAGTGTTCTGCCACACGGACAACAATTTTGAAAGGCACTGTAATGTTCCGTAGTGTTTTGCGCTTGAAAATTACATAGGGGCATAGTTTCGTGCCGTCGGCTAAGGTGCACAGCATCACAATGCAGGTTAGCTTCGTAGCTGCTTTGCACCGCTCCTAATTTCGCTCAACTTGCCACTCCTGATTTTGCTCAACTCAGTTCCCAGGGAAAGCAGGATTACCTTTTCGTTGTAGTCCCAGGCTTTGTTCTTGCACATGGCCTTCGTGTGCTCTGCAATTGAGATAAGAAGACAGAAATGTACACACTTAAGCTTTGTAAATGTAAATGACTGCAAAAATAACTTCCTGATGGAGTTATACACTTTATATCACAATTCTGCAAAATGAAAGTCAAATGCAAGTAATAGTACACCTGCATGCACTATTTACAGGACCGTGCAACGATTTTAACATTACAAGAATCTGCACTATATTAATCTTACGTAGTTTACATTAGCACCGTGTATTGCAAAGCAAAACGTTTAGAATTTCCTGACCTGCAATCGCGAATGACTGTCACGGAGTGATGTGGCCATTACAGTCTGAATAAACTCGGCAAGTCATCAATGGACCTCTTGGCAAATATGTGCTGCCACCTAGACACGCGACTGGGGTCGAGGCTAAGTGGCGAGAAAACAACGCGCGCGCGAGGCCTCTCCCACCCGTTGCACTCCCAAAACGTCAGCTACATCCTGTTCACCCATTGAGACACTGTGACCTAGATACGGCTCCCCCAAACTCGCCTTTCTCCCCATCGTGCGTAATCTTCCGCCCCGAAGTCGACACAACGAAACCATCTTCCCTTTCTGCTCGGCCAGAAGGAAGAGAGAGGGGGTACTGGAACCAGTTACTCTCGAACCGATGTTTCTGCAAAAGGTCCATTATTTGCTCAGTCTAAAGCTAAGTTATCAAAAATGTGCCAGTTTAACATGACCTTAGCACGTCGTCAATCGTTGTGCTAAATTCTGCCTTCGATATGAACACCAAGTAAACATGCCAAGAGCCTTTTATTGTCATCAAGATTCATTAGACAGAGTGTCAATGGTGCAATCGGCCCGACATCAACAACATCATTCCACTTTTGCTGGTTCCATAACGAATGGACAAAGGCCTGTCAACACTCATGCTTTCTTGCTTGTCCAGGAACGGTTACAAGTCGCAAACATCAGGGATGCTGACTAGTTGTTTTCGGACATGATAGAACCACAGCTTGAAGAGTGCTCTGATCCAAGCCAAAAACCTTCAGCAACAAAGCAGACTAAAATAAAACAAACACCTACACAAAATAGCCGTGACGGCTGAAACGTCCAGTGGGGGCCGATTTCTGATGGCCTATGTGAGCCTTCGGCCCATTGACTTTTCACCCAGCAGATGATAAAGGCCTGTTGCATGAACACGGCGGCGAACAGCCCATAAGCCGTGGCCGTTGCGGTCTTGGAATATGTCTGGATATTCTGGAGCTGGCCGCATTCTGGGAAAATTCCGGAGCCAGGCCCTTGCTCCACAACCTGCAGGACAGACCAAAGAAAAGAATGTTTCAGAGGAAACTCAAGAGCAGAAAAAAATGTGATGAACAACCTAAAGATGCAAAACAGCACGAAACACAAGGACACAAAGGAGAGAAATACATACAGGACAAGGCGCTGACTATCAACTTTCTTGTTTTGAAAACTTGCAGTTATGGGGTCTTTTTTTTTTCACTGTGGTGTAGCTTTTTCAATTATCCAAGGTCCAAAAAGGCCATCTCACTGTATCTGAGGTTCACTGACGGTTGGCTCCCGCACATTGTTTTCTTTCTTGCTATATGGTAGTCCTCAATAATCCTCCTAGAATACTGAGTTTGGTGTTTATACAAGATATTTGTGTCACTGAACCGTGGTTCACAGTCACAGTCCTGACAATGTATTGCTAAATAAGAGTATGCTCCACCCTTTAATGAACTGTGATGTTTGCAAAGTCTGACCTGCTAATGAATTCGTCGGCGACGTCATTTCAATTTATTTTGCGGGAGAGCTCTTTGTGAGTGAAGAAGTGCCAGGTGATTCAGTCGAGTCCGCCTCATCGTCGATAATATATAGCTTTTAAGTGGCCGCAGACAAGAAAATCACCTTTCATAGGTGCATGACTGGTGAACGGAATTTTGATTAACTTCGCCATTTCCGGCAAAAGATTCCTCAGGTGCTGAGCTTTGGCACGCGAAAATATCAGCACTACGTTGTGGAATGTGTAGGGGTGCAGTGTTGTGCTGCTTTACTATATCAGCATATCTCTGTGTAGCAACAGGCGTCCTGGTTCTAGATCGTCCCCATAGAATTTCGTGACATGCGTGACCCGATGATTTCATCACCTTCAGCCATTCTTCAGTTACTCAAGATAAACCTTTGTTGCCTGTTTTTAGATTGGACACGACCCTAGGTTACTGTATTTACAGGTTTATTACTGGACTGAGAGCCACATTGAGGTTGCTGGACATCATGAGCACCAGGATCGAACTGTCTCCATTCACGAATGCCAAATGCACCGTCTCTTCAGCTCACCGGCATATTCTAGCAATGCTTCTCATGACGTGTCTTGTGCTTCCGTCCAATCGTCCTTCTCTTTGACAAGCCGGGTAATCGGTCACTACAGTAAACAGTATGAAATGAGCATGCAACACTTTGGAGGTTGTGCGTGACAAGCACCATCAAATGAAAGGAACAAAATTTTTTTGTGAGATACAGGAACACATTTATTGCTGCAAAATGATTTCTTTTATCATTCAAGCGATTTTTATTTGCTAAGATGTTTTTGCGGCTGTGTATTTGAAGCGGAAGTTTTGTGTAAGGATTTGAGATACTACCGTGAAGAGTGTTAGCTAAAGTGGAGCCCACAACAGTTTTATTTCACATCCAGATATCCCGTGTAGCTCTCCAACGGGAATTCTTCTCGAATTCTTCCAACGGCACAGGCTGGCAGGACACATCGATTGTAGCGGCCCAGTCATTACCACGTCCACTGTGTGAATTGCTTGTAAGCAACAAAACGGAGCCTCGGAAGTTGGTAACTCATCGCCATAATACAAATGTTAGTGGTGGCAGTCAAATTACATCACACGCTATGACGGTTTGAGTACAGGATTATTTAAGGTGCATGAAAGAAAATAAAGTTAAACAAGATTTAGTTGGCAGAATTCTTAAGAAGGGAATGCAGGACTACACAGATATGGCATTTTACTGTGGCCAACTGGGAATGGAATAACATGAGGCGAGTGCCTGACCATACTGCTTGTGTACGTAAGAGGCCTGAAGGTTTTTGATAAAAGATGTGCATCATGTGCAGTCTTGGGTAGTAACGCGTTACTAGTAACGCGTTACTGTAATTTCGTTACTTTTTTGGTAACTTGTAACTGTAACGAGTTACTTTTTAAAAATGTAACTTGTAACTGTAGTTCTATTACTTTTTTCTGAGGTAACGATGAAAGTAACGACGTTACTTTTGTCGTTACTTTCCAGTTTTTCATGAATAATATATCACTGAACGAGTACAATTTAGCCATTTTTTGCGCTTTCCAAATTGTCTCTTCCGACATTTCGAGTGTCAAGTTATTTTTTGCACAGACTTGTGAATAAGTTCTTTCTCGCCAGTCACGACCCGAATATTGCCACGTGTAGGTTCGGTGAAAAAAAAAAAAAAGTAGTTATCTTTAGCACGCGCTTGTACTTTGTGACTGAACACTTGCATCTTAGTGTCTTGAAGAACTATCTCTTTTGCGGTTTTTCTTTTTTTCTGCGCAAACGCTTTTTAATCGAATGAATCAAACGTGAAACAACAATACACGCGGAGGGCACTGCGAATGTTACGTATTTTGATTAGCGCCGCCACTCCGCACTGCGCATGTTTCGTATTGCGCCATCAATCCAGTGTAGTGTCAACAGTCGAGGCAAAATTTACTGCTGTTTGCGCGGGGTTTGTTTCTGGCTTGCCGGGTACAAGCTGAAATATGTCCAGGGACTGTATGAACCCAGCGCAACCGTCAACGAGCCAGCAATAAGCTAGTGCTACGAAGGATATGAATGTTGATAAGAGTAAAGAAAAACTACCATGGCCGGCGTACAGAGAGTATTTTGCTGACGTGGAGGAGGTTACTAACACTTTGACCGCAGAAAACGGCACTCTATTGCCTCACCGCCTACCCGGCAATCAAAAACCTTTTCCGGCGAAACAACACTGCAATCCCATCCAGCGCGTTAGACGAGCGCCTGTTCAACAAGGGCAGGGACGTGTTCGTTATCAAATAAGGGAAACTTTCAGAAACTAATTTCGAGAAGCAACTGCTGCCAACTTACAATACGAAGTAAAAAACACACTTTTTTAATTTTATGCAAATAAACTTGGTGAAAAGCGTTTTCTAGTTTCTCCTAATATTTTTTGCGTTATAGAAAAAGTAACTGAAAAGTAACGTCGTTACTTTTTAAAAGTAACTGTAACTGTAACGAGTTACTTTTTTGTTGCGGTAACTGTAACGGTAACTTCACTACTTTTTTCTGAAAGTAACTGTAACTGTAACGAATTACTTTTTAAAAGTAACTTACCCAAGACTGATCATGTGTCAAACTTCTGCCTCACTTGCATTTAATCATTTCTTGTAAATGGGTAACAGGGCCACATCAGACGGCACATCTGCCTTTTGTCCCCTTACCCAATACCTCGTGTCTGAATAAACCCGGCAACGCGAAAGTGAGTCGTCTGTCAGTATCCCACATGTAGTGATGTATTATGCAAGAAGAGGGGTGTGTGCCCCATCAAAGCTTTAGTCTGCCCCTTACTATAATTTTGAAATTTCTGCATCATGATAAATGGGGCATAGCTCTCTTTGGCATAGGGAATACAAACAGAATTTCTTAACACCAGACCTCAAAGTAGTAGCTGGAGTAAAGAGAGGCACCCTGACCATTGAATGCTGAAGTCCTTAAGGTAGCCAACACTTCCTGAGATACCTTGGATTGAGTGGTCTTTTGGTCTTTGAGGCTGTTCACCGCAACTATTGCATTTTGCCCAATGTGCACATTGACTCGAAAAAAACTTTTAACAGCAGGTTGGTTCTACTTTTTCGGCCGAAAGGGTACTATACTTTTGGCTGTGAGGGAAAAAAGCCAAAATCAGCGGTTGCATATGTATATGTATGTTCTAGCGGTGTTGCGTTCTGCACTACCTGCAATGCCGCATAGCATAGGAAGCCCATGGCAACCAGCAACAGGTCTCTACAAATCATTTCAATCAAACTATCCACTTCTGTTCTCCTGATGTCGGGTGACGTTCCACCTCCTGCAGAGCCCAAAATGTGACACGCAGCACACGGCTGCAGGCGTATCGCCACAAAGTGTGTGCTCCGTTATGCATTATGCACCCCTCCGGGTGTGTCGTGACCTCAAGTGGGCATTTGCGGCAGCAGACGCACTCCTTTGATGTCGGCCTTACGTCGCACTGCTTACAAGAACACCTGTGATTTCAGCGAGAGGGATGTGATATGAAAGCTACCTGAAAACAGCACGAAACGAGACGAGGAAATGAAATGAGACGGGGGATTGTTACCATGCCGGCGTGGTGAGCCGCCATTCATCTGGGTCTGGAGTTAGGCTAGGGCTAGGCGCAAGCGAGTCCTCTTCACTACAGGATCTTCTCTGATGCTTCAATGGCATGTCCGCATAGGGGACAAGCCCCATAGACCCACTAGAATCGAGCATACCGTGCTGAACGTCACTCAGGCTATCCCGCCAGGCTGCCATGCTTTTCGCGATATAGATACGAGATTCAAATACTACTCTTAGAAAAAAGGGTGTATACAGTCCTCCCCAAAAGAACTCTCTTGACACATATGTTCCTTCAGAAAGGGAAAAACTTTCATCCCTGAAAGAACAGTAGCAAAGTTCCTCAGTCACCTTCATCTCATTATGGCGGCTTGAATCAATGAAATCGAGCTCAATAAGGCTTAACAAGGATGCTACGTCTATTGTACGGGGCGAGAGGAGCAGCAAATAGAAGCGTAACACAAACTTACCGCAACCTGTATTTATTTCTGATGCCAGCTTGCCCCCGCAGGTAAAGAAACTTGTATTTCGAAAGCAGTTAGCTTTCGAAAGCAGAAAGCGATACCCAGTTACTTTGTCCACTTTACCGTGTTTGCCCGATTGTAACGCGCTGGTATATTTAGCCCTCAAATATTCGAAAAATAACATGGTGCCGATTGCACCGCACAGGTGAAAAAATGGAGGGTGAATACCACATACCTGAAAGACACATTTTATGGAACGAGTAAACTCACACATACACTCGAAATAACCACACTAGTCACTGTCAGAGTCCGACGATAGCTCCTTTTCGCTGTCCATAGACCACAGACAGTCCTCGCTGCCGTCCAAGGCGTTGGAAAGGCCACACTTTTTGAAGGCGTGGACGACCATCGCCCGAAGAAGTGCCTTCCAGGCGTCGTGTACCCATTTTGCTAAGTCGTCAAGCGTCGCCCTCTTCAAACTCCCCGCCGGCGTCAGCGCGTGCTCCCCATCATTCAGCCGCTCATTGTACGCTGTACCTACATAGTCCTTCATCGGCTTGTTCAAGCAGACGTCAAGCTGCTGAAGTTGAGAGGTCATGCCACCTGGGATGATCACAAGGTTGGTGTGGCAGGCCACAAGTGTGTTCTTCACACGGTCGCTGATATGGCACCTGAACGAGTCGAGCACCAACATGCACACATGCCCAGATCGGCACCAGGTTGCTTCCTCCACACCGAGTCTATCCAGTCGATCATGAGAGCTGTGTCCATCCAGCCTTTGGGGTGCACCTGAACGATAACATTTTTAGGAAATATAACGTTCGACGGAAGCGTCTTTCTCTTGAAGATCAGGAAGGGGTCCAACTTGTGCCCGCTCTGCGCGGAGCGGAGAACGAACGAGCTTGCTTACCCAACACCCGATCACTGCTGCGTCCGTCCATGAGTGAAAACGGATCACCACAACTCAATTTCTGGTCGTACTGGTTGTGAAAGTTGTCCAGACACCAATGACACGGCAAGTTCTATTGGGAAGGAGATTGAACGGTGGCGCTGGCTAGCGGCCGCCGTCGGAACTATTCTGCGGAAATAACAATCCCGCCGCTAAAATTCGTTCAGCCATGGAGGACGAGGACTTGAGGCTCGTGAAGGGTATGTGGGTAATATATCTGCTCCAAAAGCATCTGCGTAGGGGTAGAATAGTCTCTGCTAGTCTCACCTTGCTTTAAATGTCGCGGCATTCTCTTTGGACGCAGAAACTAACCCAAGTGTAGGCACTCGCGATCGGCCACTTCGCTCCAGCTCCGCGCGCCAGGTCGTACGTAACTGACGCGGTGTGGCGATATTTGTGCGCTTCCAAGGTTGGAGAAACAGTATTCACGAAAGACACGCATTGTTTTTCAGTGTCACTGTCTCTTGCAACGATTATCAGCCACATCGACGAGAGCAAGAGTTGCCTCGTTGAAGGCGAGGACGTGCTGAAACGTGATCATGTAATCGAGTGCAGCGTCGCCCCAGAGAAATTTTCACCAAAACAGCAACCAAAATAGTCATTACATTACGTTTTTCTTGAAATGCCGAAAGGCAGAACAAACTGGTGAACATTATAATGTAGAATGTGGCTAATTAGACCGCACATTGGCATTAAACGTTACAAGTTGTCTTTTTCAGTTTAATTTATCGGTTATTCAAAGGTGCACGATTCACACTGAAATATCAGTGAGTTCTGCACGACAAGAACTTAGTCATACACACGTTTGCATTGCTCAATCGAAATAATAAGAAACTGAAAATGACTCACGCAATTGCGTAAATATCACAATATCGAACTGATACTGCTACCTAATATGTTCCAGTGTAAAAGCTAGCCTGGAATAAAATAGTGGTCGTCAAATGATAGCAGTACCTCTCGGTGGCTTATCGGCTAAAACTGATTAGACATTTGTTTTAGCTGATCGGCTAAAACAAATGTCTAATTTATTGAAGGACACACAAACAGGCGGATTAAGCCGATTGAGTTACCCCCATAAAAAGTCTGTCAAAAACCCTTTATAATGCCCTTTTAGCCTGACAAACCAACACACACAATAAATTAGCTCATACATTAGTTCATACATCCCTAGGCTATGTGAATATTTGCTACATCTACAGCTGTATCTGTGTTTTTCTCCCACAAATTCTTAGTGAGGAAGAATTTCTCGGTGGAAATACAGCCACCATTTTTAATACACCCGCTCAGAATATATTGCGAAATATTTTGTAGCTGAGGGGACGACTTATAACTTGGACCTGATGTTTGCGCAAACGCAGACTTGCTAAAGTTCTTCGGTCAAAGTGTGAGCAGCCAGGAAATTCTTCGCACCTAAATGCCTTTACTTCGAAGTAATCGTGCACTGAAACGCATATGCATTTAAAAGTTGGTGGTACAAACGAGTGCACCTTAAACTAAACTGAAAACCACATGCACCGAAAGGTCTTACATTGAAATAGTGGGATCCCATCTCAATTGACAGAAACTGGCCTTGTTGTTTAGACCAGTGGTCTCAACTCATTTCAGTGTGGGGGCCAGATAGCCCACACCGGCAAGGTCGAGGGCCAACGCAACATCGGGGGGTGGGGGAAGTTGTCAGAAGATTTTAAAGGGAAGAGACCCCGTGCTTTATGCCTTTTGTAAACCCACAATTTCGCCAGTGACATTTCTAGATTTGATTTGTTTACATAACTACGTTGAGGCCTGACCTGATTATATGAATTAAAATAACACAGCCCGCCAACGTTCTGGCATTTTTAATGGAACAAGAGAGCAAGTACTCTGTCCTTTCTGTTGCTCAATTAACTCAGGAATTAACCAACTTGAACATGTCTCTAAGAAAGACAACCAGTTAATTTGTTTTCCTCACGGTTTTTATTAAAACACTCTGAACAAATACTTGTCTTTTACTGGTGATATGTTTTTGAAAGCGAGAATCCCGAGCTCGTAGCTTTATCATTGGCAGCTACTCCTGCTGATTGAGTGTTCGCGCAGCCGAGATGCAACCTTCAAAGAATAGTGCGCGCTTGCAGCAGTAGTAGAATCGTACATTACAAAAAGCTGGGAAGCATGAAATAAAGCAAAACAAAGGTCAAACGAGCACAGATAAGTATAAACTATATGCGAATACGTTAAAAGAGCACAGCTAGTTTTCGAGCGAAAATGAATAGGCGAGATGAGATGATTATGCTGCTTGCCATTTCTAGCGCCCAAGACATGGGAACTGTGACTCGGAGCCGGTTGCTTGCGGGCCGCTTGTTTGAGACCCCTGGTTTAGACGGTACATGCCATTATTGTCTAATTTACTAGTTCAATTTGTGTCAACTCGGGCCAAAAAATAGTTCCCCTTTGAAAAATGCAATTTCAGCAAGGCACTCATGATACTAGTGCGGAAGGGCAGCTCACGTTTGTAGAAACAATGTAACTCTTTTTTCATGCCATATTAGAGTTTCAATAAACTTCCTTTTTTTCTGTTGGGGTCCTCTTTCATACTGTCTTTCCCTGGCTTCCAGATGGGGATCATGCGATTTGGCACTTTTCCTTTATACTCGTTTTCACTTCAAGGACCAATAAATCCCAGGGTCAACGGTTACAGAGCGATACCAGCACGAGCCGAGCATGGAGTTCAATCTCCTTGTGGAAGCTCTGTAGAGCTTAGGAGACTGTAATTATGGGTTAGTACAACAGCCTGAATTCCTCAGTTAATTCAACTTGTAATTTCGTTCTATGACTGAAACTTACTAGATTCCTCGGGTGCAGCTTGGATATTGAGTACTGCTGTTGATGACTCCACTGCGCTGTCTTGCCCTGGCGTGACCTCAGGTGATGCTCTCCTTTGCGATTCGGTCAGTGCATCAAGGCTGGTTGCTGCTTGAAATGGATAAATTATGTCTCATTTTAGCTGTAGAACATGCATGCATACACACTAAAAGGACTACATACCATGGAGGTGATCGTTGGTTGACTTTTTCCGGACTTTGGCTCTTGCTTTTTTCTGTGTGCCGTCAGATGGTGGGATTGTCGGCACAGCATTCCACCTGAGCAGCCGTCGACCATCCACCCTTTTTCCTTCCAACTCTGAGCCCTCGAAATGGTCCTAATAAAAAATAGACAAGGTGAAAACCACTAAAGGGGACACGATTTGTTTAGATGAATACAGTCTACTCTCGTTAATTCAAAATCTCTTAATTCAAACTTTCGGATAATTCAAACTAACGTGCAGGTCCCATCCTATGCGTCTCTATGGGAAGAAACTCCTGATAATTCAAACTTTGCTTTATTCAAACTCATTTTCGGCCCCCCTCGAGTTTGAATTAATGAGAGTCGACTGTAATTTACAACGATACACTCTACTCATTTTCATATTTCTAGCTGGATTCGCAATTTTGGAAGCACAGCAACTTCGAGTTTATATTGGCATTCTATACCAGACCACTCCACAATTTGCAGATGCAGTCAGACGCATTACAATAGCGTCTGTCTACGTTTGAAGTGGTTGCGTGTAGATTTCCAATAAGAAAACACTCTAACTGCATGCAATTACGTCGAGATAAAACTACGGGTTATCAGGAAAGTGTGCATCCAAAACTGCAGGGCAAATAAATCACGGGGTAGCTTAACACATCGTACGTACATGAAGCACGGACTCCCCGATATCTCGCTCTCGAAGTAACATAGCCAAACACAACTGTGTGAATGGATCCAGATGCGGGAAAATTTACCATCACATCGTATAATAGTCCCAAGTTGTCGGTTCAAGGATTCCGAGAACTATATGTTGCGCGAACCGCACACGGGCGAGCGATTTCGACGGGATGAATGCTCCCCTAAAACGAGCGCTTGACCAGTGGAAGCGCATGTTCCCATCAAAAGCGCTTGAACCAGTTATGAGTGAAACGGCGGCAAGTTGGTTTGAAGAGTTATTTTCACAACCGAGAAGCACGGCAAGCACTGGCGGGAGCACTTTTCTGTACAATGCGCTCGACGAGCCTGTTTTGGACGGCACCCGCATGTCATGAAGTAATGAACGGTTTCAAAAAGACATCTCTCTCCACATGAGACGTCTGCTGGAAAGGAACATACCTTACAGACCCTTGAGCTTGGCGTAGGCTGAAAATCTTTGCGGTCGGTGAGCTTCACCCAAGCTTGCAGCCGGACTTCGTCTTTTTTGCCCAATGGAAAGTGCATCAGGCGCTTTTCATTCTCCTGAGAGCTAAAACAGCCCGCGACAGAGCAAAACGGCATTGCTGCTGTCTCTTGTCCACTTGTCTAGCGCATGAAGTCAGGAAACCATCTCACTTCACGCGCAAGACCGTCACCACAGCGCCCGTTCCCGCCGTCAGTACGCACACGAAGCTCTACGAGCCAAAATGGCAGCGCCCATGAGCCGTCCTCGCGAAAACAAATCCCACGTGACCTGAACGGACGAATGACCGCCGAGGCGGCGGTGGGACAATGGGGGAAAAGAGTGCCGATACTCTGAAGCGTAGCTTCATATAGTGACACTAGCCCAACCTTAGTAATAGTAGTGTTGTGATCAATGATGGCCTCTGCTTAAATGCAGCTAGTTAGCTGTGGTGGGATATAAGCGAACGTTGCTGACTGAGAAGTACAGTCATCTTCACTACCCCTCGCCACCATAACAAGCTTGGAAGCGACACAACCTAAAATAGCAATTTGTTTAACTTTTCTCGATTGTACTCCGAAGGTTAGCCCACTCCATATTTTCACCCGATTTGCTCTCGATGTTAGGTGGGCTCTCTTTCGGGATTTTACGGTAAATGCCCGTTTGTAAAAAACAAAACTGCTTTTCAAAACTAAAAGAAAGAAAAATTCTCTTAAAGGGCAACTCCGCTTCTTTTCCAGTAGTGCAAAACTATACAGTTCTCTTTGTCATCATCTACAAAACCCCCATGGCAAATATTACGACGGAATTCCGCCTAGAAGTTCATTAAAATCGCTGTCAAATTTTGACAAGCACGAATCCGCTGGTTTTGGATGAGACGTGCGGGCCAGACAACACTGCCCGGCTGCATTTCCGCTTCCTCCAAATTCCTTCTCCCGGCACGTCCACGACGTCATCAAGCATGTACAGCTTCTTTCTTTTTTTTTTTCTTTTTTTTTTTTTCTGGGAGAGCATGGGTGGCGCCAGCGCCGTGAAAGACGTGAGTGACGCGCTCGGCCGGCCCGGCGCTCGACTATTGATACTACTGATAAGCCGATCGCCTCGTTGAGCGCGGCTTGTGTTACATCCCATACTTTTGAACACCAAGTAAAAGGAGGAGAGGGAAGCTGCTTTTGTAAGAATTTTGAGTGACAGGTTAATCTTCTATAATCTTCTGGGAGGAGAATAGCGACGCCTGTGCTAATCCAGGAGGCACAAAGGAGGATCCTGATAAGAGGGGAGCTCCTTCTTCCCTTGTATATCACGTGGGTGTACATGCTTAGTGATGCCGAATATACAATGTTGTCCGGCTTTGCCACCGTTTCGGTTTCGGTTTGTAATCATGGCTAGAGTAAAATTACACGAAAAATATTTTATTTTTCATGAAACAAAAGATTGGGGATTGTTTTTGAGTGCTTCAAAAAGCAAAATCAGCCACTATCTCAAAATTTTTGAAATTAAGCGGAGTTGCCCTTTAAAAAGAAATTTTTTAAGTGGAGCAGGGTGGAAATTTGTTTTCTACCCGTGATTTTTCTACCCAGTTCTGTGCATTAGTATGAATACAGAAAGCTTGCAAAACTGACAGTAATTTCTTGATTGCTTGTATACCATGCCGACTGTCTTTTAGTTGAAAGGAAAATACCTTACTATTGCTTTTGACTGAAGTAAGAAATGCCAAGCATTATCTCTTTGACAATCTGGTGGCATATTCAGAGCCTTGTATCTTACGAGTCATTATATTCGTCACCAAATACAATGCGGGTGTAGTCGTCCTATACATGGGCTTTTGATGGCATAAGTTAAGTTTATTTTATTTTCACAGAGTATTTTATAGTAAATCTAAAGTATCGTCAAAAATGAGATTTACCAATATTTTGAATCTGCTTTATTAAAAAGAAATTTTTTATTTCATTCATTTTTTTTTTTTATTGCTGGTCGATCAGATGAACTTTCTATTGGCTCGATGCGATTTCCCCTTTTTTTATTGTCTTCTCTACAAGTGATCGAAATTGCACCCACGCTCTCAGAATGGCCGAACGCAGATTTCCGCAGGTCGACTTTGTTGCAAAGAATATACTGCTTATTTTTTGCGTTAAAAGCAGATGGTTTATTGTCTCCGCAAAAAGAGCAGAATGACCCATTCATGTAGCCAGACCGGGGTCATATATCTGTTTGTGCTGTACAGAACTTGTAAGGCACATACACTGCGCCTGGCCACGTCGTGCTATAGGCCCGTCACCGTTATGCCCCGGAAGCACCCAGCACAGGCTGTCAATTCATGATGTGATTTGTCGCTTGCGATCAAATAACCATGTAAGTGCCTGTTCTTTATCGGCAGTGTGTATATAAAAAAATATATCACATGCCCCTCTTTAAGAAGGAAAAGCATTTTACAGAAAAAAAGCGGGGAAAATGGACGGAGTTTTTTTTTGTGAAGTGAAGACAATTTTTTAAGAAAACAAACACCAACTTGCAGTATAAAGTCAGGTTTATTAAGGCTAATATAATATATTTAGGATGCACTTGTAATACAATAAGTTGCTGTGCTTTAAATGGTCCAGTTCACGATTTTATTTTAGGCAGCCACGGTAGATTTTTTGGCTAGGCACACATTGCTTGGGTTTGGAAATACATAAATGTTTGTTCTATTTTCGCCTTTAAAAAAAGTGCGTCCGGCGTAGGTGGACTTGGCACGGCTGCATAAGAGCATCGGCGAATGTCTTTCATATTGCCGGAGACTGTACATCTCATGCTAATGTCACGTTAGGTTCCTGGCATGACTCGCGAATTGTGCACCACACATGTCAGGAGCGTATCCCTTTGCGAGCACCTACAGAGGCCCATTCTTTTTTGTGCTTGCCGTATGCATCGATTTCTTTCTCCGGTAAGTCAAAAAGCACAACGCTTCTTGTCATTATTTTAATTTTTTTCAATGAAGTTCTCTGACATCTGTATCAAGGAGCCGTCCTGCGAACGAAAATTGGGTACTGTGGTGAGGTGCTTCAGTTAGCCACCAACTCCGTCACATAAGTTCTTGCCGTGGCTGGATGCCGAGAATAGTCATTTTGCTTTGTCAGAGCTGCCTTGTGCAAATTCGAAGAGGTGGTAGCGGTTCTTGAAGTGGGATGTGGCTCCATCAGACACTTAGGTGATGCTGGAATAAACGGGAACATTGTCTTCTGACCAGTCTTCAATCAATTGGATTGTGAGCAGAGCATGTGGTGTGTCATGACCGATATCTACAGACATGACGTCGAAGCTCTGTGGACCCTTAGCAGTTGATACGACGCATGTGAAAATTGATATCGAGTGTTTGTGCCAATGGTACTCTTAAATTTCGTTTGGTAGCGCAGCTGTCCAATTCTTGGTGAAATCAAAGTGAAGCACAATTCGCTTCTGAGCTATTTCGGTTTTGGCGAGTCGGATTGCGTCACCCTAGGGGTTCCAAATGTATTCATGCGAAATGCACCTAATGGTTCAAGTCTGCAGTTCCTTGAGGAAGACATGTGGTTCGGTCGTTTTTCGATTAGATCTCCTTTTCCCACCTGCAAAATGTGACATCTTCCTCTTCCAAATTTTCCAAAATTTGAGAAATGAGATTATGGGCATTCGGACATTTTTTGCATTTGCATCTCAAACAACTAGGTGTCGGTTCTGAACAAAGGCACATGGATATCAGTGCCTGCTTCGTGATCTCTTCTTCACGCAAACGGGTCAAACCAGAAAAACAAAGGTTGCAATTCGTACAGGACATGCAGGCACATGCTGTTTGCTTTGGGTTGGTCTTCACCCATTTTGGGCGGAATAAGTAAAATTTAGTAATTCCCAATTTAGTTCCCGGGTTGGGATGCATCAGGTATTTCTCCTGAATGGACCTTGTCATGTATCTTTTCATTATGACTTCCTTTTTGCCATCCTTAATGACTCGCAGGATCTTTCGTGTTGGTATTTTGAACTGAACAGTCAAGATCGTCATTCGTGTTGTACTCGGTGGCGAACTGCAATACTTTGTCATCAACCTTCTTGCCCGATGCACAAATCTGGCGATTTCCATGTACCAAAATTTGTCTGCGGTTTTCTCGACTTTCGCCGCAAGCATATGGTGCTTCTGGAATTTTTTTTTTTTTTGCTTCGACAATTGTAACGCTGGAAGGAATAAGCGTCAAGAGCTGACATCTCTTCCGGTTGGACAATGCCTTTGCAAAAGCTTGATGCATATTAAGCCACCACTTGTCGCATCCAAAGCAGGAGCTGGGAGGATTGAGCTGCTCGGTTTTGTTCCATAGGCAGTACCTAATTTCTTAGCCACTTTTCGACTAAAGGCAGCTTCTAGTTTGTCTTGCTTTCTCTTCTGATAGGACTTTCGAGTTTTTGGATTAATTGCCTACGCCACTTTCGGCGAGGTCGCCTCCGGTATGCCGCCAGCGATTCCTTCATTGAAATCTTTGAGCACATGTTGGGAAAGAACGCTGGGGCATGAACTTGAGCTCAATTCACTAGCACAGGAAGCAGAAAGTTTCTCACCCAGATGCGTGAAGCAATTCTGGCAGAGCGTGTCGGTAACCTTCATGGCTCCAGCTCTGTGAGAAGACAAGAATGACCTCACCAGATTCATGTTGAGGTCCGGATGGCATGGAGCCATGCGTCTAACTTTGAGGAAAGCTCACCGTTCTTCATCAAAAACTGCCTCGTTAGTGTACGGAAAACGCCGTATGGCGAGCCTCCCGCGCCATTACAGTTCATCGTGATTAGAGTAGAGCTGCACGACAATCTGAAAGACTGGCACCTGGGGCTGCACAATCTTTTCCATCTTGGTCACTTTCACCACCAGTATTGGTACCCTCACTGAAGATGTCAGCAGAGTGTTATGTGTCTCAGACTCTCGCATGCTCAACAAACTTCGAACAGGCCAAGAAGCTCGAGAGAGTGATGCGAGATGAGTGGTGAACTGAGACAGTGATCATTGTGACGGCTTCCGCTACATGGTTGGCTGTGGAGAGCCTTAACCGTTAGCTGCCTTAGC